CCTTCCCCACCCCCGGGCCCCCCACCAGGGGCTGGGCTCAGAGCCCACCGCAGCCCCTCACCCCGGCGCCAGGCCAGCCGGAGGCCCCGCTGCCCCTCGGGGGGTTGATCCAGCAGCGTTGCCCCCCCAAAGGTGACACAGACAAGGCAGAAGCCCCCCCAGGATGAGAGGGGTGACACCACGAAGCAGCACACCTCCCAGGACAGTTGAATCCTGCTGTCCCCACCGATGTTTTGGACAAGGCAGAGGTTTCCTCTGGCCCCCCCGCTCCGGCCCAGCTGCAGCCCAGCTGGACGGACAGACGGACGCCGGCAGAGCAGGGGGATGAGGTGCTGCTGCAGCAGCAGCACGGCCACGTATTCAGCATCCCTCGGGGATGGGGCTGTTTGTGGGGGTGTTCTTACCTACCGGGGGGGAAAAGGATACAGCTTCACGGCTCCCGCCTTGGTGCCGATGGCCATGACGCGCAGGACGGGGTCGTAGGCCAGGGCGCTGGGCTGGCTGGGGAAGCCATGCTCCACTGTCTGCCACGGGGACAGGCAGGTCAGAGCCAGGACCTCCCACTCCTGGATCCAACAAGCCCCCCACAGCCCCATTTCACCCACATGGCTCCTGCCCCAAGGTTCATCCCCAAGACGGAAGAGCATGAGGATGTTGCCTTATCCCCTGCTGCCATCAATGGGGTCCTTGGGGAGGGGGGGGTGACACCACTCCTCACCCCACTTCCACATGACACCCAAAACAGACCAAACCCAACAGCCCCACCAAGGGCTGAGGTGACTGAGCTTGCATGACCCTCCCCCTGCCCTGACCAGCACCTTGAGGAAGGGACCCCCCCGACCCTAAATCCCTGCCCAGAGTCCAGCTCAGTCCCTCAAGCAGGCAAGACCCCCACTAAGATGTCCCCGGGGGGTCGGTGGTGCCAGGCAGCAGAACCAGGAGAGCGGGACCCACCAGCACCAGGGGATGTCCCAGCCAGAGCCGCGTGCCGCCCGCGGGCACCTTCACAAG